AGAAATATTATTTTTGAGTATTATCTCCCTCAGTGCTTGCCTCCGAAACAAACACAAGAGCAAGTTTCCTGGAAGGGCAAGGCCCTAGGGACAGAGTTCAATGACTCCTGCCTCCGAAACAAACACAGGAGCAAGCCTCCTGGAAGGGCAAGGCCCTGGGGACAGAGTTCAAGGACTCCTGCCCCCGAAACAAACACAGGAGCAAGCCTCCTGAAGGGCAAGGCCCTGGGGACAGAGTTCAAGGACTCCTGCCTCCGAAGCAAACACAGAAGCAAGCCTCATGGAAGGGCAAGGCCCTGGGGACAGAGTTCAAGGACTCTTGCCCCCGAAGCAAACACAGGAGCAAGCCTCCTGGAAGGGCAAGGCCCTGGGGACAGAGTTCGAGGACTCTTGCCCCCAAAACAACCACGAGAGCAAGCCTCTTGAAAGGGCAAGGCCCTGAAGACAGTTCAAGGAATCTACGCAAAAAAGTGTACGCAAGAAAGTATTAAGTACTCAAAAGCTTTATTTCAAAAAGAGGGGCTTTGCGTCCCCAAGAGCTACAAAAAAAAAAGAGAAGTACAATCGAAAAGAAAAAAGTTTTCATCTTGCCCCGGGCATCTCCAAAACATCCGCCGAGGGCGAATCGGCGTAGAAAGGTTGAGCAGCTTCGGGAGCAGGCAGAGTGGGAGGTACTTCGGCAACAGAGAGACCCTGAGGAATATTATGGTCAGGGGCCTGGTCCGACAGGGCCTCATCAGACAAATCCACTATTACCGCCTCAGGCAGATCCGCCGAAACTTGCACCGGCGTTGGAATCTCGCCCTCGGCAGCAATCTCGGCTTCGGCCTGTTCCATCTCAGCCGAGGGCACGTATTTGTGCATCTGGAAGAGCGGGGAGTCTGACGGGATCCCAGCAGACTGGAGCGCCTCGTCCCACCCCTTCTTGAAGAACTCCTTGCTATTTTCTTCAAGAGCGGGGAGCACGTCATCGGCGAACTCTTCTCGGAGTTGCTCCTCGGACTTCCTGTTCTGTGCCTCGGCCCTGATCCTGTCCAGCTCCTGGGTCAGAGCCAGACAGCTTTCCTTTGAACCAACAGCCCTCTCCTCCGCCGCAGAGAGCCGCTGCGTCTGCTCTGTGATCCTCCCCTCAGCGTCGGCAAGGGCAGCACTTAGCTTTTCAGCGCCGACCTTAGCCAACTCGGCATCCTTGAGGAGTTGCTCGATTTGAGCAGCCTGTCCGGCGAGGGTGGAATCCCTGGCAGCTACGTCTCCTTAGCACTGGCGAGGGCCCCCTCCGCTTCTTCCTTCTGCTCTCGGACCCGCTGGAGGTCCATCCTAGCCCTATGATACCGCGCCGCTATTATGGAGATCTGTTGGGTGGCCTGCAAAGGAAAAAGGCACGTCACTAAAAAGAAAAGCGGCTAAAAAAAAAAAAAAGACTGTAGCAAAGATGGAACTTACCACCAGGGAATTCTGGATGATAGAGCGAAACAACACGTTCGTTGATCGCCCCCTGTGAGCCACCATGTCGGCCTCGAAATGCAGCGTCTCACTCACTGCATTGGCGACATGGGGGTCCTGCAAAATGGAGTCGTCGACCCTAATCACTCGGTTCATGTGATCAGTGGCTCGAGGATTCCACTCCGCGGCTTCCACTGTCGGCGGAAGGGGAGGAGGAGTCTGCTGTTGCCGCTGTTGCTGTTGTTGCTGTTGTTGCTGTTGTTGCTGAGGAGCAGGAGGTAACCCACGGCCTCTCCCACTTTGCTGCTGAGCGGAGGGTGCCCTGGATCCCCTGCCAAGGCCATCGTGCCTATGTTTGACCCTTCTCTCCTCCTCTACCTGAGGATCCCGGTCACGCACTTGCCTCCGACTGACGACTCTTGAGGATGGGGTGGTGCTGGTCCCTGCAGATGGGGGCCCACCGGCCGATCCTCGTCCCCTCCCGGCAGCAAGGGCTTGCCTCTGTCTCAGGAACCCTAGATCAATGCGAGGCGTGCTGGACATGGCTATCTCGAGGGCGTCTTCGACGTCTAGAGATTGTAAAATTTGGAAGTCTGGCCACGAATCTCTCCCCGAAGTCCCCACCTCGGCGGGCGAAGGAACCAAGTCCTCTCTGACCCCGAGCGCTTCAACTTCACCCTCTACTTCTGTCTCCGAAGCCCGGTCAGGGTCTTCCTCCAAATTCTCCTCGCCCTCTTATCCCACCGCCTGATCAAAGAGTTCAGACTACCGCGAAGGCTCGAAAGGCTGGGAAAGCTGTGAAAACTTCTTATATCCGGGAGTGTAATTCAGGAGGATGTGGGCAGCCCGGTCGAACCCGTCGTCACCAGTAAATCTCCAAATTGTGACTAGGTCGGCAAAGTTCACCAACGACCGAGGGGGAGGAGCTGTTTTCCGAGCAGGGACGTCTGTACAAACAAAAAAGGAGTCATGAACATAGAAAATCTCAAGAACAAAATAATAGACCCGAAGGAATCGACGTACTTGTCGTTCTCCATTCCAAAGGGCATAACAAGCCGTTATACTCGGAACCGACACCTCTCTGCCAGGATCCCTTGAAGATAAGTATGTCATCTTTGTACCCCTTGTCCGAGTCGGGAAGGTGAGTTACGAGGTACATAGATGGGTCCCTGGCTTTGAGGTAGAAGTGTTGTTGAGGCATGACTCTCAAGAGGGAATAGCAAAAAAGGATATCATTCAGTCCAACATTCACCCCGAGACGTCTATTAAGCTCTAGGACCCCCATAACTATCCTGAAGACATTAAGGCAACACTATCCGGGGAAAAGGTGGAAATGAGAGAGGAACTGGAGAAGTAGAGGTGGCAAAGGGAATCTAATTTCGCCTTCTATGATGGCTTTGGTATAAAAGGGCATTGCACCCTCGGTACCGAGGGTACGAGGGTGCACAACCGGGTTATAATCCTCTATGTCTACATACTGTGGGATATTGTACTTGACCTTAAACCTATTAATTTGCTCACCACCCTTTACTTTATATTTCCCTGACCCCGAAGAACTGGCCTGAGGATTCTCGGGGGCAGGGCGACGACGAGGCATCTCAAAGAAAGTGAGAAAAAGTGGAGGATGTTTTTTCCCTTAAAGATCCCCAAGGAAGCTTCCCGAGGATTGGTCGCTAAGTGGCAACCAGAGACACCTCCAGTTATCGAAAAACCAAAAGGGACAGAAGGACGAAGAAAGGAAAGATACTGGGACTCACCAGAATGTAAAAAGAAGTTTTTTCTGGAAAATTCGAAGCGACTCCTTCCAGAATGTTTCAGAAGCAAGGATGGGTCTGCTGGCCTTAAAACTCCGGTGAAATGGTTGGACAGTTGACAACGGAAGGAAAGAGATCTCCGGCGAAATCTCCAGCAAGGGCTCTGTGAAGAAAAGTTCAGAACGATGAAATGAGAAAAGAAGAGAGAAAGCACATTTATATATAGCACCTATCCCATCATTAGGCGCGAAGCACGAAAAGGCGCATTTAATGCGCACGACGTCCTAAGCAGGGAAAAGCGGCTAGAAGCAATGATGAAGTAGTTGGGGTTGTTGTAAAACCCTTCGTCTCCTTACGACGCGTGTCATCAGTGTCAGAAGATCGAAGGCTGGGGGGCAGTTGATGGGACATTTTCGAAATACTCCGAGATGAAGACACGTGTCCTCGGTGTCATTAATCCTTGTTACCGAGATCACGTACCATCGGGTCACAAGTCCCCTCTCCCCCGAGGTACTGATTATAGGGATCGAGTGGCATCCAGTACATTTTTTATGTACCGACACGTACCCTCGGTCTGATATGGTACATCGGTCGCTAGGCCTCCCCCTCTCGGCTTCAAGATGTACCTATTCCTCGGCTCCGAATGTACCTCTTCCTCGGTTCTGAGATGTACCTCTTCCTCGGTACCGAGATGTACCCCCCTCGTCCAGGATGCCGTTCTCTGCTCCAGCAGAGGCTATTGATGTACTGGTCACTTGCCTAGGCTAGGCTAGGTTAGCTATCATGACCTCGTCTTACACAATTGGTGTCAGAAGGCACAGGAAGGCAGGGGCCACAGCCAATGGGGAATGGACGCGTGGCATATTGTGTCACATCAGAGACAGAAAAATCGCATGACCTTGCTGACACACGACTTGGGAAAACAAACATTTAATTACATCATTCCCTTGATGAGACTACATTCAATGCGGTAAGTCATTTCTCATAGGAATCAGTGCGCACGTTGCCTGTATCTAATGATCACCTACTGACCACACTGACAGCAATCATGAGTATTTGAGGTATAAATACTCCTCACTAAAGGCAAGGGAACCCAGGTGAAACTTTTGCTATAAATTATACTCAATGTTTTATTTTTCCTCTCTCTCAAAAACTGACTTGATCGTCAGAGGGGATACGCCGGAAAATACTCTGGCGCCGTTCTAACTTGTTTTTCTTTGTTCCAGGAACTTTTCTTCAGTCTTACTGGATCGTTCCTTTGATCCGCGAGGGTCTCCCATTACCGTTCCAGGTTACCACCAGATCTCACAGGCTGTTCCAAGCAGCGTGGTTGACCACTCAACTGACTCACTCGAGTTCACCAAAGAAGATATATGTTCTCGTTTTTATATTGTGCAAGATCTAGAACGCACACATACCTCAATTTGTCAGGTGTTGGTGCATTAAACATTCTCATAATTTTATATTTTAGATTCAAACAGATAATTAGACACTTTATATTTTAAAACTAAAGATTATAATTATCTTTATGTATCAATTAGATAATCCTAGTGATTAAAAGTTTTTAAACTAAATCGTTAGAAGAATGAACGGAAAATTTTCAAGCAATTGGGTTATATATTTTGGGTAAAAAAAAAATTAAAACAATTTTGAAATAAAAGGCGAAAGGGCATTCCAGTCATTTTAGGGAGAAACAAACAAAAAAATACGCGAGAAGTTTCTGGGCAATTCCGTCCAGGAGCATGGGCAACTTGAATGAGTCCACACGCGGTACCTCGTGGGATCAATATATACCAGCCGCAGAAGTTATATAGCATAAAAGAATAAAATTTTGTAGAGAAAATCACATTGCAGCGTGATTTTCCCAGAACACCCATTTTCTATCCACAGCTTTACGACCATGTATCTCACAAAAGTATCCAAATCCAATATCTCTTCGTTCTTACCCTTTCGCAGCGTGAGGAAACCATCTCCGCCGCCGATAAACTTTGATCTCATAGCTAGATCCTTCGACGAGAACACACTCCGTCTTCTCAAAACCTTATCTCCACCGTCGATCGGCTTTTCTTGGCTCTCCGCCGCTGTCGATGTCCTCTCTTCCATTCACGCCGCAGCCCTCAACCTGATTTCGAACCTGAAATCTTCGTCGGAGGAGTCGCTCGTGTTGTACTTGGACCACAGCGTGAAGATCTTGGACATCTGCAATTCGATATCCTCCGAAATAGAGCGCTTACGTCAACGTCGCCTTTTGATAAGTCTGGTTCTTCACGTCCTCGGATTTTCCGGCAACGATCTTCATATCCCTGCGCCTGAGAAGCTACGGAAGGCTAGAGATTCTCTGGCTGATTGGGAAAACGACTCCAGCGTAATCGTGCGGCGGAGCTGTTTCCAGATCCAAAAGCCAGAGGATCTGATCAGACAACTGGCGTCAACGGTGGAGATTGCGCCACGTGGTAAGATATCGAGCGCGAAGAACCTTATTGACCGCACGATCTACACCGTAGGAGTTGTGACGGTGTTTTTGGCCGGAGTTTTGGTCTCGGCAACGAACGGATTGCCGGGGATTGTAAATATCCGAGTTGACTCGGCCGAGTTTTCGTGGGCTGACTCGTTTAATGGTCTTCAGTCGACTGCGTCTGATGAGTTGAAGCGCCGAGTTGGTGCGGAAAAGAAGAAAGGGTTGTTGGTGGAGGCGGATGACGTGGCAAAGCGTGCAAGAATAGTGCGTGAAGTCATAGACGGCATCGTTTTGGTGGACAGGAGCAAAGAAGAGGTCAAAAAAGAGACGTTAGATAACGCCGTTAATGTGCTTGGCAAGGCGACGGAAAGGTTGTCTGATGGTTTGGACCGTTTGACTAACAGCGTTAACGGACTATTCGACACCGTTATGCGAACGCGTGATGGGTTGGTAGAGCGTTATAGAGCGGGCCATCAGAAACAGTAATAGGAAAAAGTTTGATTATGTAATAAAATAGGGTAAATGTTATCTTTGTATTCACGTTTGTAGTGAAAGTTAATGAAGAAGTAGCACAGATCTCACCCTTAAAATTTTGAGCAATTTACCTTAGTACGTATCAAATTTGAAATTGGCGTGCAAACATTACATAAAGATGCGTTTACGAAAACAAAAATAAAAAATACTCGGTTTATTACCGCTTTAACTATTGGATTAATGAGTCTTATAGAATAGAGTTTATAAAATTTACTTCTTTTATCATTAACATTCATGCTACCACGAGGGAGATTGGAATAATGTTGATTAGTACTACTCAGCACCCAATTTTACAAAACCTGGCTACATGAATTATCTTATTAAAAGGGCAGCTTCTTATAAGGAAACCTCTGCTCTACGGCATCACGGAAGGAGATTAACATTGTCTATAAGGAGACTATTCTCGTCATTCGAATTCACAATTCCTGTTGTTTGCCTAATTATATGCAAAAAAAAAAAAAAAAAAAGGATAGAATTAACTCGAGGTCTAGTAATAAAAAAAGAGTACTTGTCCAAAGTTGGAAGCCCAATTTAAATTAGTGTAAAAAATAAAAAAAATATTATTTGGATCTAATTTGAAGACCTAATCTAAGGGTCTAATTCAATACAACTATTAGATTAGTTGTAGTCTCTATTTAACATTGAAACTCACAACTAATTCAATTATTGTATTGAAGCCACATCATTAAGTCTCCAAATAAAATTCGTATAGCTTTGCTAAAAACAAAAACTTGTTACTTTAAAAAAAAAAAAAAAAAACCAGGGCAATGCTCTTAAGTTTTAACCAAAGGACAAAAATGGCAAAGCAGATTTTGCAGGTGCAGTTCTTTTGGCAAGCTAGTTGAGTTGCTTGTACCCAAAAACGGTGTACGATGATCGACCATGGTTTCTTCTGCACATGAAGATTCCAGGCAATTGTACAAAACCTGGCATATAAATTCCGACTTTTATGAACATCCAAGCAAAATATGAGAAACCAAGAAAAAAGATGAAAATTAGGTCCGAGAATGATTAGAAAAGTCAGAGTTGATCATTCAAGGTTTCCAAGAAAGAGAACTCAAACATGGAATAACCTGATTTCTAGGTAGACATCAACCCATCGGGTCTTGTTTACAAAAATAAGTTAGAATTATATTCACACTCCCCCCCGCCGTCAACGTCATATGTATGTCATTAGTAAATTACGTCTACACCTTTTAAAATTTGTATGTATATAATATTTAAATTTTTTAATTTTAAAATATTATACTTAAATAAAAAAATATTTTAATTAAAGATAAAATATTTTATATTTGAAATTGTATAATCAAAATTCATGTTTTATTTTGTCATTTATTAAAATAAAAATTTAATTTTTTTCTTAAAAAGTTATAATTATTATACAATTATACTATCTATTGAAATAAAACTACAAAACCAAACAAGGGGTCAAACTATGATGAACAAAATATCTTAAATCTTTAATTGTGATAATTTTCTCGTTTAATATATTCCGTTAGTTCTATAACTAATAATGGGTCTGTGTATAATATTTTAAACTTGAGGGGTTTAAATATTATACACATATAAATTTTAGAAGTCTAGATATAATTTACTAATGTATATACTAACGGATATTGACGACAAAAATCTAAGTGTTACTCACATACAAACTTCAAGAAGTGTGTGTGTAATATTTCAGAAAGCTGAAAGTGTTCACTAGGAGTGTCTTTTATAATTTTTTCAATATGACAATTTTATTTTGAAATATTTCACAATCCTATTAAAACTCTAAAGTGTTCTATTCTTTAAAACCTTTAATATATTTTACACTCTTAAATTTTCAATATCCACAATCCACAACAACCACTATTATGCCACCGTTGTCATCACCACCACCGCCACCACCATTGAACCACCACCACCGTCACCGTGACAACCACCACCACCACTGTTATGTCGTTGTCAGTACTATCATTGTGCAACTGTTATCACTATCGTCGCCACCACCACTACTATTGTCATCTCGGTGTGATGGTTAAAAAGAAGGTAAAATTAAAATAATAATAATAATTTTCATACTTCAACTTATTATATATGTCAAATAGATTGATTCAAATCAATATTTAAATTTTAGTTGATACCAAAAAACCTGCGAATTAAAAAATTTAGCATTAGTATTTGTAATTCAACATTCAACTTTCAATTTTATCAAACACTACCTAATCCTCCCAATTTTTTCCTTCTTTCAATTTTTTTTTCTTTATCAAATATGAAGTTTTGTTTCTCTTTTTAACTTTTCATTCATCAACTTTTTTACCATACCAAATAAAGTATAACTTAGGTGTCAAGAGTTTAGGTGTCTTTCGAATGAGGTTAATTGCTAAGAGGATTTTTTTCCTTCTTCAAGATTGTGTATTTTGGATGAGGTTAAATGCTAAGATTAACAAATAATTATCATTCAATAAATACGATAGAGAATCCCTAAATTAATTCTTAATTGGAATACCATAAACTCTAGATTTTTCATAATATAATTGTATCTAATTTCTTTTAATAGTAAATAATCTATCACGTATTGCCAGGTGTCCAACAAGTGTACGATGGTTCACACTTGAATTCAAAACATAAATCCATAATTAGAGAAATGACTTTTTTCACCTTACGTTCTGAAAATTTTTAAAATTTATCACTTTGTACTTGTAAAGATTAATTATTTTACATTACAATTTAACCCTTATGATAGTTTCTGTTATTTTTTCTGTCAAAAATTAATTCATTGACACTTATAAAAAATTAATAGAAGTGTCACATTATAACATTTTTAATATATTTATGGTATAATATAAAAAAATTAATATTTAAAAGTATAAAATAAAAGATTTAAAATCTTATAAGGCACAAACTACAATTCGTCATTAGAGAAAATAGAATAAAAATGTATCGAATGATAGAAGAGAACAAAAACGGAAGACTTTATCAGCCATCAACGCACCGAGTAGTCATGTCCCTTGGCTCTTGCGTTGTCCTTTTCAGATGTGCCTAATTAAAGTAGATTTTTTTATGATCTTCCAAAGTTTACAGGTTGGACCACGCACCAATAATTCTCTCTCTCAATGCCGTGGTCAGTGGGCCGCCTTGATCACGCAGCATCTCATTCTTGGTCGGCCCATTATTATTATAAAAGGTCAATACTCCCTCTTGTGGTGGGGGTATTTTGGTACCATCACTCCGTCAAACTAAGCTATTAATTCTAAATTCAATAATTATAATTATTAATTAAAAATAATAAATTTATACACAACATATGTTTATTGATTGAAAAGTAAAAATATGATATAGAAATATAATTTTTCAATATCATAACAAGATTGTTGTTGGCGTGGGTGAGATTCCAAAAATGTTGAAATGATCATGTCCTGTTACCTTTTGTCGCCTCAATTAATATTTTGACGACTTGTAATCGTGGCTACTCTTCCACTTCGCAATTCAATGGCCAAATGGCTTTCCAATCGATTGCTGAATCAATATCCTTTTAATACTAACAAAAATATCGAGTGTACAAAATTATATATACGTAGGTACTTTTTGATGACGTATAAATCTAATTTTACACTATTAAATCAGTCAAGTATATAGAGTAAAACAATTAATAAAGTAGTTAGTAATAAGAGACAAAAATTAAGTGGTTGGGTCTCATTGACCTAACCGGTGAAGGCAGCAACGGTAGCTGAAAAGTCTATTAACGAGAGAGTATAAGGTAATAAGGGGGAGAGAGAGAAAAAGTAATAGTATGTTCAAGGTGAGGTGTGTGACATCTGTCCCCATGTGTAAGGGGTTTATAATTTATAGGCACAGAGAGTCTTTAACTGTAGCGGTGACGTGAAAGTCATGTTATTAATTTATCAGGAAAGATAGTTACTATTGAAGATAGACATTATTTTAGAGTAATGAGTATTCTGATAATTGCTCTTCCACGTATGTTGACTTTTGTTGAACTCTTGGGCTTGGTATTGAATGGAGGCCATGAGCTAAGTCAGACCTGTCTTTTGATAGTTTGAGCTAAACCCATGAACTAAAGCACAAACTTGATCTCAATCTGGGCTCGTCATTTTTCATTCGGAGAGGCTATTTCTAAAACTCAAATCTTTAACATTTAAGTCACAATGTACATTACGACTATGCCAATGCCAGTCTCAAATCCGTTTAATACAAATTTCATTTTACTTTTCTCAATGGTAAATAGCTTATAATTAATTTAAGTAGAGTTTATTATATTGAAACGAATCCCGCAAGAATATATATATAAATTTAGAAAGAATTAATATTCAAGAAAATCTCAGTTCTAAATAATTCTGGCTGATAGCTTTATAACCAAAAATTAATGTCTTGCAAAAATGTAGACACATTCAACATTTATTTTTTTATTTTTTTTGCCCAGCAAATTACTCAAGCCTTCCGAGATAATCAGTTCAGACGCCACCTTGACCTTTTGTTGAAACTATTATTTGTTTTCACGTTTTTTTGTGTTTAATGCATCTGGAACGAAACTGACACAAACTTTTATGGACAAAACATTTAGTAAACAAAATTTTAACAAAGATTTCTACATGGAAATTGATGATGTATGTCACACAAATGAGCAGAGCTTATGATAGCAAGGGATTGAAGGGTCACCGAATAGCTCAGTCGAAACTCCTACACTCTTAAGAATTGAATAGGAAAAAAGGGAAATTTGCACGCAGAAAATTTATAGTGGTTTACCAGCTCGAAAACTTGGTTAATCTACTCTGAAGGGAGTCTCTTGCTCCTAAAGATAAAATTGATAATGGGGGGAAGATTTCACAGTATTTTCTTAGGCTAATTGCTTGTGTCTTGTTGTAAGGGATATGCCTCATATTTATAGTCTTCAGAGACCTTGCATGATCTTGTACGTGATCTTTGCCCTCTTCTTGTAACGGTTGCGTCTTTTTGCGATTGTCATGGACATCGTTGAGATGGTTGTGACTTCTTTGCCCAGATGCACAACCGTTACATTATGTATGATGCTTGGGTGGAAGCCAGCTGTCATCGGTGCTATTCTTGTGGAGGCGCAATGGCAGGGGGAAAGGTAACTAATCCCAAATCACTCACCCATCCGCAATGGGCTGAGTGGTTGTGCATCTGGGCAAAGAAGTCACAACCATCTCAACGATGTCTATGATGC